CCCTCAGCATCCTGGGCCCTGTCACCCTGCTGGGAATGTCCCCACGTGCAGCTCTGCATTTCTCTCTGCTCATGGGGAGGCAGCTCTGGCCTCGTTGGCAGACAAGTTCAATGTCCTCCCTCAGGCCTTGGGACGATCTTTAATCTCAGGAGCCCAGAATTCTCCAGAAAAGAGTACGGAGTCCAAGTGCTGAGGCCACACAGCTGGCCGTGGCCTGACCTCGGGTCCCCAGGGCCCGGGACCAGCTCTGTGCTTTGTCATCTGCTGCTGTGTGCCATGGGCCTCAGTTTTCCTGGAAACTCAAGCATTAACTAGATGGCATTTAAGGCCCAGCTCCCCAGGACTCCCCGAAGTCTTGTTCTAAGTCAGGCGATACCCCCCGCATGCCCCTGGAAAAGCTCATTTTCCTTATCTGTAAAATGGAGTCAGTATTGACTCCAGCCCTGCCCACCTCCCAGGGTTGGGGAGGCTTCAGGGGACTGCTGAAGCCAGCCCGGGGCACCCCAGTCAGCATCCACAGGTGCACAGCCATGGCGGCCCCCTCCCCACCTCCCCCTAGCCTGAGGAGCAGAGCTGCCCCTGCAGGTTACCCCTGCGGGCTGCGTCTGGGGCAAAGGAGACACCTCTACCCAATGTCAGAGGTCCCGGTGGATGGTGGTTTCCACACCACAGAGGGAAATAAACAGTGTGGCTTACAGTTTGAGCTGGTCTCATTGCAATGACTTTTTCTTTTTAACCTTGGGGGTTTCGAAGGCTTGTCCCATATTTATCAGAAGACCTGGGTCCCGTTGTCACAGAAAGGGGGCATCTCTGGGAGCTGGGGTCTGTGTGGTGTGATCCTGGCACTTGGTCTCTCCCCACCTGAGCCCAAACAAGCAGGCATCCATAACCCCATTCTACAACTGAGGACACGGGAGCTTGAAGAAGTCAAATCAAGTGCCCAGGGCCACCAAGCTAGTAAGAGGCAATGCTGGAATTTGAACTCAGCTCCAGCTAACGTCAGAGGCCCTGTCTCACCACACGGCTCCCCAGGTCCAAAACCAAGTGCTTTCCACCAACCCCTTCCCCTCCTTCCTCCTGCTTCTTCATCCCAAAGACTGGGATGGAGCTGCATTTCTCAGCACCCCCACTTCTTCATCTAACAAACTCCTGCGCCTCCTTCAAAACCCTGTTTTAATGTTGCCCTCTCTGTGAGGTCTTCCCAAGGGCAGGTGGTTGGCTAGTGCCATTCAGCCATCTGCCCTCTTTAAGGAAGCTCTGGTTCCCAGGCTGTGCGAGTGCAGAGGTGGAGTGGGGTTATAACCAGCTTCGACTCTCAAAAGCAATAGACGAGACTGGAGGACTCGGAGCCGAGAGTTTTGCCCAATTAAATTTTGTGAGTGTGCAAATGCAGCGTGTTCCAGTCCCTCCCAGCCTAAAAGGTCTGTCTTGACCTCGGAAAGCCCTTCCACCACGGCTTACTTTTCTCTTCTTGATGGAGTCTGCTTCCGCCCCTCCATCTCACTCTGCCAAAATCTCTCTCTCCAAGGCTGCTGCCCTTGACCTCATCGTCACCAAGATCAATGGGCTTTTAAAAAGCCTTGTATGAATAATAACAGCTCCATCAATCCCTCAAGTTCACCTATCCTGGACTCGTCTGTGCACTCCACGCTCTTCAGCAGGTGCTTATGGAGTGTCCACTGGGTGTCCAGGCTCTGGGGATACTGGCCATGAGCCAAAGTCCCTGCTCTCGTGGAGCTTACATTGGCCATCTGTCACCACCCTGACTGCTCCCAAATCTGCCTCCCCCCTGGCGTCTCCTGTGAGCCAGCTTCAGCATCTGCTATCATGTCCCACAGCACAAGCCATTTTCCCTCCTATGTTCCCTGTGTCCGTCAGGGCCCAGGCAGAAGCCGAGGGCCACTCTTGGTCCCCCACCCTCAGCCTCACATATAATCACCTCCACCGGTTCTCCTTGCTCTTCTCAACTCGATCCACTCTCTCCAACCTCCTCCAGCACCTTTGGACTACTGTCATTTCTCACCTGTGTCGTGACATCAGCCTGCTGACTTAGCTTGTGTCCCCATCTGTCAGCTGGCCCGGCGCATCTCTAGGCTAGACAACAGCCAGAGGGAATTGCAGGCACAGAAGTCATCCTGTCACTGCTCTGCCACTTGAGGCTCTCCTTTGCCCTGAGGCTAAAGTCCAGACGTCCCGCAAAGTTGACAAAGCACCGGAGACAAAGCCTGCTCACCTCTCTTGTCTCCTCCCACCCTCCTCCTGCACTTGAACCGTGGCTGTCCTGAGCCTGGGGACTCCTTCTCCCTGGAGTGCAGTCCCCTGGCTGCCCCCCATTCTCCTGTCTGTCCCACTGAACTCCCAGCCACCTTCAGACCTCATTGTAGATGCCGCTTCCTCCAGGAAGGCTTCCGTCTCCTCATCCTTCTCTCCCCTGTCTAGTGAGGTGGCCTCTGCTGGGCTGTATCCCACACCCCCCTATCCAGGGTCATGTCTCTTCTCCGCCACACAGTTGCTTGCTTCCCTGACCATCTTCCCCACTGAACTCTCTCAGTTTCCTGTTGCTGTGGTAACAAATGACCACAAACTTAGTGTTTTCAACAGCATGTTTATCACCTTACAGTTCTGGAGGTCGGAAGTCCTAAAATCAAGGTATTGGCAGGGCCGCGTTCCTGGTGGAAGCTCCGGGGGAGAAGCTGTTTCCTTGCTTTTCCAGCCTGCAGGGACTGCAGCACTGGTTGGCGTGTGACCCTGTCCTCCCTCCTCCAAGCCAGCAGCCCCGCCCCTTCCCGTCACTCTCACGGATTCTGCTCCCCCTGCCCCCCTTGGGGAGAGACCTTGTGATTATACGGGGGCCGCCGGGTAGGCCAGGATAATCTCCCCCTCTCGGGATCCTTCACTGAACCACACGTACCCAGTCCTTTGACTGTGGAAGGTACCAAGTCACAGGTTCCAGGACTAGGATGGGGCACATCCCTGGGGACCATTATTCTGCCGGTCACAGCGTCCGAGCTCCTCAACGGCAGGGCAGTCCCTCCTGCACTCCTGGACCTCCACACATAGCGGTGTGCCTGGCCCATCCTAAGTGCTCAGGAGAGCTTCTGTGAATAAGGGAGTCCATTAATGAACAAGGGTGCATGGTGGTGTGCACACACGTGCGTGCGTGTGTGTGTGTGTGTGTGTTATATGTTGTATGGGACTGAGTGGTGGAGCAGAAGCCTCTAACCCCGTGAAAAACCACAGCTTCTAGAAAAATGTTCATCCCACGATTAAGGAACTAAAGGTGTGGGTGATAAATAGGGCAAAGCACCTGCTGACAGGTGCACACACCGCGGGAGGTCACTGGGCACAGCCAGCCTGGAGACTGCGGTGGGTGGGTGTGCCACCAGGAGAAGTGGGCCTTCCAGAGATGCTGATGGCCCAGCTTACTGCTCATGGAAGGGCTGCCCAGCCCGGCAGGCCTGAGAGAAGGTGAGTGACCTTGCAGTGGGCGTGACAGCTAAGTGAGCGTAGGGCAGGTTGCTTTCCACGTGGCTGTGTGACCTGGGGCAGGCATGACTGCTGGGTGTGAGGGACCCCCATGAGTGCATGGTGACGATAATGCCGGAAGCATTTTAATATTCTAACTCATGGAACTCTTTAGCAACTCCCTCCAGGGGTATTGTTATCCCCACTTTGCAGAGGGGAATACCAAGGCCAAGGGGTCAAATAATGCACCCTGGGTCTCACAACTATGAAGTTGGTAGAATCAAGGTTTGAACTCAGGCAGCCCAGACCCAACATCAGCTCCGAAGCGCTCTGCTGTGCTCCAGCAAGCTGACGTCGGCAGGATGGCCATCAGGAGCGGCCGCTGGGCTCTGTCTGCATCCTAGCCCACCCTCGGCATGGCGAGGTGGAAGGAGAAGCCAGATGGGAAAGGAGCCCAGGGAGGGAACCCCCAGAGCCTCCACCTCAGGATCTGTACACCCCAAGAGTGCAGCGCCATGCTCAGGGGCAGAACGGGGACAGGGTGCCCGGGCCCCACCCGATAGGCTGATACAGTTTGTGGGCCTGGATCCTGAGTCACACAAATCAACCATAATAAGATGCTCCTGAGACCATCGGAGAAACTTGAACACTGACCAGATATTTGAAGCCTAGTAGGTAGCAGAGGTTGGGCAAGAGATGTTTCTGTGCCACGGAGGAGCATGGTTATGTAGACACACAGCGCACTGCACTGGGCGTCATTCCCCCCCACCGCCCGCCCCGGGGCACCAAAACTCCAACGCGCTTTGTTTAGTTATGACATGTGACCATAGTCTTTTTTTTTTTTTTTTAGATTTTATTTATTTGACAGAGAGAGAACACACACAGAGGGAGAGGGAGAAGCAGGCTTCCTGCTGAGCAGGGAGCCCAACGTGGGGCTCGGTCCCAGGACCCCGGGATCATGACCTGAGCCAAAGGCAGATGCTTAACCCACTGAGCCACCCAGGCACCCCTGATCATAGTCTTTTTAAAGAGTCCTTATCTTTTAGAGATAAACACCACGATGTTTACAAACCATGGGATGCCCGAGTATTGTTCCCCGATGGGGGAAGGTTGGGAGCTGACACATAAGGTCCCCTGTGAGCCCCTGACCCCTGCAGCCCGGGCGATGGACCATTCTCTTTACTTTTGGAAATGTGTGAAAGGATCCAAAATTAGAAAGGTATTTTAAAAGGCTCAACCTGGGACTCTATGAAAGATTTACAATCAATCATCTTCACGCCATCTGTCCTGCACTGTAAACAGATGGAATTGTCAACAGGTGCAGTTTGCCAAAGGAAATTTGCAGCTGTAAAGAGGGTGCAAAGATTTTCACCCGCCTGGGTTTGGGGGGTGGGGAAGATGCTGGCCGCTCACGCTGCTGGGCATGAAGCAGAAGGTGGGGCCAGGAGGGAAAAGATCCAAAGTCTAACATTAAAGGATGTTCTGATCTTCTGGTGCCGGGTCTGTGGGGCTGAGGTGGATCCGGGGGACAGAGCATGGCCGGAAGCTCTGAATGGAGGTACCAGGGCCAGGTGAGTGGTCCCCCGCAGCAGGAACAAGGAGGGGAGTGTCTTCGGTCAGATTCTATCATAGCAGAGCCTGAGATGAAGATCTTGGGCAACGGGTGTATGGGGGAGTGCTCTCGAGAGAAAAAGAGCGAAAAGCAGGGCAGGGCAGGTGAAGCAAGCCAAGGACAGAGAGGGTTTCAGCTGACTGCGAGCTTCAGCCTGATCCCACTGTCAGCTGGTGCTCAGGAGCACTTGCTTGGTCCCACCTTGAAGCCAGGGGACTGTCCCTTCATGCCCCACTGGCTGCAGGCTCGGGGGGAGGGGCTGTAACTAAACCCCCAGGAGGGAGCAGTTACAGCCCTTAGCCCCAAGCATTACAGCAGCTGGTAAAGGGCGCCCCACCCCACCCCAATAAATGGGCAGTGGGGGGCACCAAGAGCATCTACCCCAGGGAGGAACTCACTACCTAGAGCCCATCCTGCAGCCTGCTGGGAGGGGTCATAGCGACTTCCATTCCAATCCCAGAAACTCACACACACACACACACACACACACACACACACACTCTTATGAGGAAGCAGAGCCCCAAAGAGGGGAAAGGACTTGCCCAGGACCACGCAGGGCCAGTACTAGAGTCCAGGCCTCCTGACTCCACCCCAGAGCGAGGCCTCCGTGTCCTGCTGGCCCCTGGGCTCCTTGCAGGGGACCCTCCCCTGTTTTTTAACTGGCAGCCACTAAAACCACATCCTCTAGGGCTGGCCCACCAGTCCCCCACCAGCCCCTTGTCACACGGTGTGACTCAGTATCTCTCAATTCCTGCCTGTCTCTGCTTGACGCACATGCACACACACGTGCGTGCACACACACATGCGTGCACGCATACACACACGCACGCATACACACACGTGCACGCATACACACACGCACACACCGGTGCGTGCACACACATACACACATGTACTCATACACACGTGCACGCATATACACACGTGCACACATATACACACGTGCACGCATACACACGCACGCACACCGGTGCGTGCACATGCATACACACATGCACGCATACACACACGTGCACACTGGTGCGTGCACACGCATACACACGTGTACATACATATACACATGAACACACACAGAGACACACACATGCATGCACACACACCCTCAGAAGCTACCCTGTCCTCTAGGCCTCCCCAGCACAGACTGATCAGGGCCTCAGGTTTTCTGTCTGCTTGACCACAAACCTCCCATTGTCAGATCTCACTCGCTATTGCTTGGGTCCCTGTGGTGTTCAGCTCAGACTCCACAGATGAATCTCAGACCACCCAGCACACTCAGTACACCCAGTCCTCTCCTTTCCTTGCCACACCTACCCCCTTCCCCAGGAGCCCCAAACTCTCGCACCCCTTCCCCCCATGATCACCCCTGAGGGCAATAAGGACAGGATGGGTCAAGTCCTTTTTTTTTTTTAAAGATTTTATTTATTTATTAGAGAGAGAGTGAGTGAGCGGGAGAGAGCATGAGCCAGGGGAGGGGCAGAGAAGCAGACTCCCCGCTGAGCAGGGAGCCCAGTGTGGGACTAGATCCCAGGACTCTGAGATCATGACCTGAGCTGAAGGCAGATGCTTAACGACTGAGCTACCCAGGCGCCCAGGATGAATCAAGTCTTAATAGAGGAATGGATGAAGACCAAGTGGAGCCTGGGTGGTGGGATTCCAGGCATGTGACAGGCTGATGTTTGCGGAGCGTTTGCTATCTGCGAGGCCCTGCGCATTGCAGACATTATCCCATTTAATCCTTATAACACCCCACCCCCTCCCCTGTGCCTGGGAGAGGCATTAACACCCCGCCCCCCAGGGGACAAGGAGATAGTGAGATGTCATCAACCTGCCCAAAGTCCAGGCTCCCGGGAACACAGCCAGGATCTGAGCCAGCCTTGCCCATGTCCAGCGCTCATGATGTGATCCACTCTGCTGGGGGCTGGAGGGGGCTCCCCAGCTCAGTCCCTGTTGGCCCTGCCTTCCAGGAGCTGAAGGACCAAAAGGAATCTGGGCCCTGGTTGGTTCCCCTGGGGATGCCAGGCTAGCTGAGGGATGGGGGAGGGGCCAAGGCCAAGAGGGGAGAGTCAGCCCACCTCCACCCGGGCAGCCCTGCATGGGGTTCTGGGGGAACAGAGCGCGGAGGGCGGGGGCAACAGGGCATGAGTCTTCTAAGGACTCGGAGGTCACGCCCTCCTCGGAAGGTGGGAACCTCACGGCAGACAGGCTGTCCCTCTAGTTCTGCAAGTCCCGCCCTCAGCACCCCTCCCTCCTGGTGGCAGGATGGCTCTGCAGCAGCTCCCTGTCCCATGAGAGACGTGGCCCCTAGAGATCACAGTCCAATCCCTACCTCCACCACCAGATGCACAGAAGAAAACCAGTGGGAGGGCAAAGAAGGCCAAAAAACCCCTTGAACCAGAAATTTGTTAGTTTAAGGCCACTTTGCCCAAAAGCGTTCCCCCCAGAACCACTGTAGAATCAACAGACTTTGAGAAAAAACTTCCATAGCCAATTAAGTTTGGGTAATGCCCTTAATATCAAAATAGAGTACTCCTCTGCAGGAATTCTCAGGACCTTTACTATGCTAAAGGGGGGGAGGGGGGAGTTGATATCCAGAGTTTCCCATTCTTATTTGACCATGGAACCCTTCTGTTGCTGATCTGTTGGGACCAGTGTTCCATGGCACACACTTTGAGAAAGGTTACTCTGCATTCTTGAATACAGCTCCCAGCTGGATATTTAAATGCTTCCGGCTGTCACATTCCGGAAAGTGAAAGCCCAGGCACGAGGCACACCTCCAGTGGCCGAGTGCTCACTATATCCCTGGACAACCTATTCCATCCAAGACCCCTCTGCTAACAAGGCTTCCCTTTTTTTGTGCTTCCCAGTGGTGTCCAGGCTCAGGTCCATGCTCTGTCCTCCCAGGTGTACCAGAGAAGTCTAGCTGCAGCCGGTGGCCACTTGGTTAGGCCTCTGCCTCCAGCTGCAGCCATCAGTCCCGCCGGCTATGTCAGAGCGGCCCTGAAATGCTGGGAATTAAGAGGACAGACTTCCAAGCATAGCCGGGCCAGGTCACAGAAAAGAGAGTCATGCATCACCGTGTCTCTGGGCTCAGCTGCTGGAGCCTCCCTCCCTCCCACTAAATCGGGACTGTCGCCACAGGCCAGTGGAGACATTTATCAGAGGGCCCAGCAGCCTGTCAGACCTCACACAGTCCCAAATCCCAGGATCTTTCTGGCTGTGTGACTTTGGTCCAGGCCCTGGACCTCCCTGAGCCTCCACGTTCTCTTCTACAGAATGGAGCCAACTTCCCGGGGATTGAGGGAGGTCAGCCTAGTGCAGAGCCAATACTTACCAGCCGTGAGGCCCCCTGTCTGACCCTTTGGCTCTTGGACCCCGTCCCTTCCTTTCTTCCCTGTTTGGGATTTAACTATCCAGGCCGCCTGTCCCACCCAGACTCCCGAAGCTCTTTCCCCCTGCTACTGTTACCACCACCATGCAGGAAACTGCAAAATGGGGGTGTTCAAACAAGACCTCCTGAATTGGAGTTAAAATTGAAGGGAATGTGGCCCCCCTTTCTTTTTACCAGAAAGAGTAAGAACAAGCCACTCACTTCGCTCATTAACCCCATCCCCATGGAGAACTGTCTCCTACCTCGATTTCCATAAACTGGTTCCCCTTTCCTCCCAACCCCATCCCACCTCAGTTCTCCTGGGAAAGATCAGCTATACTCACTAAGTCACCAGGCAGCCCCCACTATGTGCCCCAGCTCAATGTATGACGTAGTGACCACGCCCCTCCGCAAGTGGGGCTTTCAGTCCCCTGCAAAGTTTTCCCTCAGCCTCTTTCTCATGCCTGTTAAAACATCCAGAACATCTCCTTTCATTCACTGAGGCAGCAGTGCCTAGGGGACGTAAGCCCACACACTCTGGAGCCGGTCTGCCAGGCTTGAGTCCCAGCCCAGTCATTTCCTGGCTGTGTGACCTTGGTTAAGTGGCTTAACCTCTCTGGGCCTCATCTGCAAAATGAAAGCAAGCACAGTATTTATCCAGAGGTTTGGGAGGAGTATAACATCAGATAATGCACATAGATGCTTATCCCACTGCCAAGAACGGAGAGAATGCGTGTAAATGTGGACTCATTGGTAAATATGGACTTTCTGGCTCAGTGGTGGCTCATAGTAGGTCCTCCACAGAAGTTTCCCTCCTTCCCCTTCCCCATCAGCCCAAACCCGGGAGGCACCATTATCGGCGGTTTGGGTGTGTTCTGTCTCGCAATGGCTGGGAAGTTTGTCTGACCCTTTTTTCTACCCCAGACGGAACGAGGTCCCTGCAATGCCACAGAGGCCTCGAGTGGCTGATTCTCCCCATGCCCACGAGCCAGGTTATTCTAGGTCAAATCAAGTTCAGGGGTTACTGGACAGGGCAGCCTGTTCCGGAAGGCCCTGGCTCAGAGAACAGAGGCGACAGTCACTGAGTCTCACCCAGGCACAAGCCCCAGAAATGGGATGGGTTCCGACCCAGCCTCTCTGCTTCACCTGCAGCCAAGGTCCTTGGCCTGGGTCCTGACAGCAGAAGCCTATGGAGCAGCCGGAGTGATTCCCAGACCATAAGTGAGGGAGCTCCCACCATGGCAGGCCCACGGCCCCACCCAGCTAGGCCAGACGAGCCTGCCCCCGCAGCTGAGCCTGCCCGGCTTCCCGCCTCTGGCCTGGCACCAGAAGCAGCCCAGGAGGAGACGCAGCCTTCTCAAGGAGCTGGGCGTGAGTGGCCCATTTCCCGGGACCCTGGTGGGGGTAGGCGGGGACCTGGAGGACTGGGGAGCCCTGAGCGGGGAGGCAGATGAGAAAGCCTCCAGTCGCCCTGCTTAACACTCCTGCTAGAATTGAAAGAGCCGGGAGGTGTGGGAGAGGCTGTCTACACCTGCACCAGCACTGGTTTGATGTTGCTCATAGGAAGTCCTCAACAGAAGCCCCTCCCCTTCCCTCCCCCTCCCCCCACACCTACCCCAGGGGGCCCCGGCCCCACCACAGCGGGAGAGAAAATTACTTGATTCCCGTCACCTTTCCGAGGAGCCAGTCCTTCCTTGCAGACCCACCAGGATCCCTTGGAAGGGGCCAGGTGGACCCGGCTCAGCCAGTTGGCGCAGGGCACCAACGCCCAGCCCCCAACGGTGGCTCCCTGTTCCCTCCCGGCCCCCAGGCCTTCCATGTTGTCATTGCTCTACTGTACTTGCTCTTTGGGAGTTGCCTGGTCTCTATGGTCAAGAGTCTTCACCTGGTGGTGCTGAAGTCTTGGTATCCATTCTGGGGGGCTGCCTCTGTTAGTAGGTGCCAAAACATGGGCCGGATGTGGGGGTCAGCAGGCAGGCTTGGGGGACCCTGGCATTTGGGGCCAGATGCAGGTGGGTCAGAATGAGCTACTAGGAGGGAAGCCCCTTTCTCCAGTCCCCCGGCCTCTGCTTCTGTGTCCTCGATGCTTCCCACGAGGCCCCTTCGGGCCTGCATCCCAGGGGGGCACTCCCGGCCTCTCTGCACACTCCTCTAATCCAGCAGGTGCATCCAGCAGGTGGAGGGCAAGCATGAGCCAGGGACGGCTCCATTGTCGTCAGGCTTCTGGGCAGGCTTCCAGGCTGCCTGCCGATCCAGGAACCTGTCCCTGGTGCCTAAGGCTCTCTCAGGCTGGCTCTGCAGGAACACAAGCATGTGAGGCATGGCTCCTGTCCTCTCAAGGCCATCGGCCATGAGGAGAGACCAGAGCACACACTGTTTCCCGAAGGCTCCCCAAGGCATCCTCCCCAACCCTGGGTCCCCCCGCCTCCCCGGAGTCCTGCATACGCACTGAGTCCCAGCTCCCACGGTGCCCTCTCGGGCAGGTGTCCTGACCTCCCCACTGCCACTTCAGTCCACTGTCCCTTCTCCGAGCTTTGAATGCACAGTGATGGGACTGTCTCCACATGCAGTGTCTAGTCATCCTGTGGTCCCCGGGACTGGCACATGCAGCCACTCAGCTAACGGTTGAAGGAATCATTGCAGAAATACACCAGGGACCTCAGATTGAAGAGCTAATATCCTCCAAACTGCAGGATTCGGGAATGGAGAAAGGGTCGGAGTGGAGAAGATAGTGCAGCTGAACCCAGAGGGATGGTTTGGGTCAGCAAAATGGGGGGACGAGGGAGGGGCCGGGAGGGCATCTGAGCGCAGGGCACAGCTGAGTCCCAAGTGTGGGGGTTTGTGCGCACAGGGAAGACCAGCATGGCCAGAGCAGGCCCGCGATGGGCCATGTGGTGGGCAGGGGGAGCTCCTTCGTTGGAGGAGTGGTTCACCACCAGCCAGCCACCGGGGTTTGGGTTTTCTTAGAGAGTAGCCGGAAGAAAGCAAACTTGTGGGTTTCAAGGAACCCTGACCTCTCTTACGACTGTTTCAAATCTGGCCTGCAGTTTCTCATTTCAGGGATCTTGGTGATCATGATAGAGCTGCTTTCAAAGACTTATCTGGTAAGTTGGAGCACTGAGGTCACTCCAAGCCCGGGTTAGCTTTGTGAAGAGCATCTGTGTGTGTGTGGTGGAGATTCAGGAGGCAGTTCTCCAGGATTGGCTGGGAGCAGGCATGAGTCTTCTGGACAGCAGAGGGCATCCAAGCAGAAGGGTCCCCAGGTCCTCAAGGTCTGCCCCTCACCCCCTGCCTTTCCTGGGCCCCAGTTCTGTCCTCATGTCCAACATCAGCAGGTCGGCATGGTCTGCAGGCCCGGGCCCACAGCTGGGTTTCCATGTGCTCTCATCTCTGAGGGACACGACCCTGCACTGTGCTGTCCCCGGCCCAAGCACCTTGCCCACTCCCGGATGCACATTCTCTCCCGGCTTTGATTCACTCCTGATCGTTCTTCAAAACTCGGCAAAAATGCCCCGTCCTCCTGGCGGTCTTTCCTGACCCGCCATGGCTGGCCTCTGCGTCCTCCAAGCTTGTCCCCACAGCTTACCCGTCTCCTTGTCTCTCTCCCATACACTAAGCTGTGTGGCCACCCGGTGTCCGAGCAACTCTCTGGCTCAGGTGGGCTGGAGCGGCCCAGGGTGGCCTGGGTAGGCCCAGAGTAGACACTGACACAAGACTGGCCAGACGGACATTGGCGATGGAAGGACCATCCCTACCCCTCCTACTTCATGGCCTCAGCCCGCCCTCTGCCCCGGAAGGCCTGGCCGCGTCCACATTTGTGCCCCTCTGGCTGGGCGGGGCTGTGACTGTCCCCTGCCTTCTCAGAAGGCATAGAGAACAGGATGGGGTTGTGCCATTTGCCCAGCAGAGGCAGGAGATGCATGGCAAAGACCTGCCCATTCCTCCTGGACTGGGCCCCTTTCAGAACCAGAAGTTTCTCCCTTCCAACACCCAAGCATAGGGAGGCCCTACTGCAGAGAGGTCTGCTCTGGTAAAATAAGTTGGAGGTTCCATATGTTCAGACTCTTTCCCCATTTATACGGGTTTGCTCTTGGTAAGAGGCTCTTGGAATAATGCTTAACCCAAGATGGTGATGAATGGAGGCCGTGGTGGGTGGGGAAGGAGGCAGAGTGTGTGAGGATGGGGCACCTTCAGGACTCCTCCTGCTCTTTCCTGTAGGGAAGGGGATGGGTGAGGGGCCATTTGGGGGTCCAGTCCCTGACCAGGCAACATATTTGATGCCAGGATGATTTAGACCGGCTTTGAGAGAGAGACAGTGGTGGGAGCATCCTTCTTTAGTACAGTCTGTGGATCGGGAGGCAGCCCTTGGGTCCCCCCAGTCCTGTCCCATAGAAGGTGAAAGCTGCTTGCCACCCCCCAACCCGGTGCTCAGCTAGCTCAGGCAGTCATGCTCGAATGAGGAGCCTCAGGCCCAGAGACAGGCAGAGTCTTTCCTGAGGTCACAGAGCAAGCACCTGGCAGGCCTAGACACAGGACCCAGGTGTGGGTCTCTAACTTTTGGACAACGATCGTGACTGTTACTTTTGCTTGTAGAAGACGCTTTGCCTGATAGCACATGCCGTCAGCTTCTTCTGCGTGCTAGCTGGCCTCTTTGTCGTTGCCAAAGATCTCTTTCTGGAGAGTCCCTTTGAGTTCCCGATCTGGACACCGTACCCCAACAGCACAGTGAGTACCCTGGCCCCGAGGGTCCTCTCACTCCCAGGAAGGTGTGGCCCTGGGCTTGGCCAAGAGGAGGTTTCTTTGGAGCCCAGGCACAGGGGCTGGGAACCCCGGGCAATCTGTTCCCACCCTGTCCCTCCTGAGGCACTGGTCAGCGTTAGGGAGCTGGCTGAGGCCTCGAGTCATTGGGTCCAGTCCCACTTTTATAGATAGGGAAACTGAGGACCAGAGAGGAAGAAGGGCCTGTTTGAGGCTGAGCAGCAAGTCGGCAGCAAATTCAGGACCACGATCTAGAACTGCCAACTCCCTGGTCAAGGCTCTTTAAATATCGTAGCCCCAGTGACCCCATTATGGGTGAGCCTCACAGCAGCCTTGCAGATTGGGCCGAGTCTACTTTGTTACCCCCATTTTAAAGGAGTGAACACTGAGGTCCAGAGAGGCTACATTAGTAGACCAAGGCCACACAGCAAGTCAAGGGGGCAGTGAAGACTCAAAGCTGGGCCTACAACTCCGAGCCCAGTGCCTTTTCAGCACAACCCAGCGCCCCTGGGGCGGGCCGGACACTCTGCGTGGTGGCCGCAGGCCTCTGGGCCAGGTTCCTGACCATGGTGGTTGGCTCTTCCTTATCGGCCTCCACCATGCACACACACGTGTGGGCACACAGGCAGGCCTACTCACACACACGCACATGCACGCACGCACACATGCTCCCTTACAAGTGCCCATGCTGTGTGAGATGTCCCCACCGCATGGTGGCCCTAAGCCCAGCTCCTCCCCAGCTATAAAAGATGCTCCTTCTCTGAGCCTCAGTGTCCCTATCTAAGTGGGGCTGGCTGAGACGACACTTAAGGCCACCTGCAGTTCCACCAGAGACCCATGAGATTCTCCAGCCCTCCAACGTTAGGCACATACTCACTGAGGACCCAGGGGTGCCAGGCGGGGGGATGTAGAGCAGCGACCGAGAAGGGCCCAGTCCCAGCCCCACAGAGTCCCACCCTGCCCTCCACAGGGCACACCAGCAGCTGAAGCCCCCACTGCCCCCTGGGTGTAGATACCCAGCGAGGCCTCGCCCTGTCTCCCTCTCCCCCACACGCTCCAGATCCACATCCAGAGGCTGGAGCTGGCCCTGCTCTGCTTCACGGTCCTGGAGTTCTTCCTGCTGAGCTCCACGATGGTCACAGTGTGCCTGGATGACTGCTCGTCCGCAGAGGTGAGGCCTCCTGCGATGAGAGGTGGGTGGGGACACGAGGCTCGGGAAGGGGAGGCGGCAGGCAGGGGCAGGTGAGGAGCGAGTCCCTCACTCTTTTGTCGTGTGGCTGAGCATTTACTCAGCGGAGCCACACACAGAGCGGGTCCAGTAGGGGTGACAAGGGCCAGGGGCGGGAAGGCTGATTCAAGGTGGAAATTGCAGGACCACCCAAGAGAAAACGCCCCAGGAGCTCAGAACAGCCCCTGCTCTCCGGCCCTGAGGCCCCGGGAGCTCTCCCAGGGAGATGGGTGGATGCCCCAGGCAGGATTCGTACTTGCAGGCAGGATGGGAGAAGGGACCTCCAGCAGAGGCAAGGTCATAGACAATGGCTTGGGGATGGGACAGGGAAGGCCAGGAGAGCTATGGCGTTTTGTGGGGTTTGGCTGTGGAGGGAGCAAGCAAGGGGGGTCATATGGGACTGAGCATTTCAGGCTTATGGGGCACTCCTGCTATTGAGCACTTTAGAAAAATATAACTTGAAAAAAAAAAAAAACCAACAACCACCCCCCCATATCTTGATTTAGCTTAATTTTCTCAATAGCCCTTCAAGGTGGGTACCTACTTCCCCATCCTACAGATAAGTAAACTGAGGCTTAGAGAGGTCCTGTCCCTTCCCAAGGCCAGTCAGCCCGTAAGGAAATCCAGGACTCGGTCCGAGGTGTGTCTAACCCACAGCCAGGCCGGTCCGCCCGTGGGGTTGGCAGAACGGCAGGCTGGGGCCAGATGTGTTTTGGAATAGACTGGCCTCTCCCCACACCAGTGACCCTGACCAGACGCGATTTTCGAGGCTCGCTTCTGTAAAGGAGGAAAGTTCCTATTAGAATCTGAACTTGAGAACAGATGAAAACACGGGCTCCAAATTCCCCGTGATCCTGCGAGTTCGACTCTCCTTTTGTTTTCAAGTGGGTGCCGTCCGTCCACAGCGATTACACGGCACAAATAGGAGTGGTGGCCCCGAGCTGGTCGTCCTAGTCAGGGCCCGGCTGTCTGGCAGGAAATCTCGGGAAGACGTCAGAGAGCTGGGAGAGGCCTTGAGTCCCTGAGGCCAGCCCCGCAGCTCAGGATGGGGAGACCGAGGCCCCCTACCTGCTGCAGGAATTAACGAGACCGGCTCCCACTTACTGGCATCTGCTGCGCTGAATGCTGCGGGCGTCCCGTTGCCCTGGCAACAAATTATCGCCAATCTGACAGCTTAAAAAGACACAGCCGTGGGGTCTCAGGGTTCTGGACGCCGGCAGTGTGAGTGGGTCTTGCGCAGCTACCATCGTCGAGCCTTGCCGGCAGGACTGCTCTCCCACCAGAGGCTGTACGGGAGGGTCCGTGGGCCCACCCAGAGAATCCAAGAAAATCGCCCATCTCAACCTTCACCTGATTAGCAGCCTTTGCCCTGTGGCCTGACATATGCTGGGTGGGGGACGAGGACACAGACGTCCCCAGAGGCCATACCGCCCTGGTTCAGACCGCCTGGCACCTCCCAGCCACTCTGGGATGCAGGGAGGCAGGTTCTGCTTTCCCATTTTTGGAGGAAAAATGAGGCTCAGCAGGGTGACGTGACACCCCGCAGTCACATGAGCAGGGAGGGGCCAAGCCACGCCTCCCCCAAAGGCCTCTGTGTCCCCTTCTGTCTGAGAAAACAGGGCCAGGGACGGGCTTTGCCGCAGCCTCGTCACAAACCAGGGATGAGGACAGGACAGCAGTCCCTGGGGACACTGGGAGCGCACCCCTAGAGTGTGCCCCTGGCCCAGCCCCGACAGGGAAGCCGACGGGGGGAGTGACCTGCCCAAGGTCCCCTGCACACTGGTAGCAGGCCCAGAATGAGGGTCAGTCCGCTGTCTCCCAGCGGGCCTCTCCCCACTCCCTCCTCAGGGACAGGGAGGGAGAGAGAGGCCGAGAGCGGCCTTCTGAAAGCCCCTCCCCGAGCCTCGGGGTCCCCATCGCCATGGGAACCTTGACACGTCCACAAGGGAGCCAGTGAGCAGTGCTTTGTAAATGGCCACTCACCGCATGAATGTGAGCGGAGGGACGGTGGCTCCTTTTTTGCAGAAAGACGACTTGTCCCTTGTTCCTGACACACCGGTGGAGCTCAGGCGGCGGCCGATGAGTCCTCCACCATCCTATGAGGATGTGACTTTAGGTGGCATATAGGACGAGCAAAAGCAGAGGTACGGAGGCCCTGGGCTCCCCAAACCATCGGAGTTCACCCCCCGGTCCCTTCTTCCCGCACAGACATGGACCAGTTCCGAGAGGGCGGCTGCAATAAAGGGGCAAATGGTGCCATTGCTAGAACGGTCTGCCCTGAGCTGGTGGCCAAGGTGGGGACGGTCCCCATCCCCTCAGGCACAGGACGGACCCCTCTGGGCCCCCAGCCCCTCCATGACACTCCAGCACCTGAGTGGCTGGCCGGAGCTGCGTCAGCTGGGCCAGAGCACGGCCAGTCCTACCCACGCAGGAGCAGACCGTGGCCCCCACTCCACGCCCTCTTCCCTCCAGGTCTGCTTTCTCCAGTACTGTTGGGACACATGGGGAGCGTGTCCCTGTGGGGCTGTGGGGTGAGTCAGGGTGCAGTCTGTGTCCAAATCCCTGGATTCGGGTCGGGGGATGGCAGGGGCGTTGAGTCAGATGGAAACTGGGACCAGTTCTTCCCAGCAAACTGTGAATGCATCTCCCGGCCTTCCTGGGCCTCAGTGTCTCCATCTGTACCATGAGGGAGTGGGTGGATGAGGCCATCGCCCCCCCCCACCCCCACTGGAAAGCTCTGAGATAGGAGTCAAGTTCAGGATTTCCATTGTGAACCTGCAGGCTCGGGGTCCACACCAGCTCTCGCCGAGTAAGTCAAGTGAGGGAGAGCCGCCTTTCTCCGTTCCCGAACGTAGTGGTCCCAGGACAGTCTGGGGTTTCCGTTATTTGTGGACTGGGCTTCATTCCTCCTGTGTTTCCATAAATGGGTTTTTTTTTTTCACGATGTATCATTTGGGAGGGGTACTTTGTATCTGCAATAAACGGGAAGCCAATAACTCTCTGTAAAAGGAAGCTAAACACAAAAATAATGTAAACACGGTGAAAACAAAACTAACTTGCCACCCACTGCTGTGATGTCAGCTACAGCTTCTCCATCTCTCAGTCATCTGCTCCAGACACCCTGGCTTCCTTGAGGTTCTACAGATGCTGCAAGCACACCCCTGCCGCTGAGCCATCCCCTTGCCCTTCCTCTGCCCGGACTCTCTTCCCACTCACTCTGTGAATCTTTATTGGGCTACTGACTCTGGGCCAAGGCTGGCCCCATCCGTCTGTGATGTAGGTTCATTTACTATCCCCCTTTCACGCAGGCTCAGAGAAGTTAAGCAAGCTGCCCCAAGGCACACAGCTGGTAAGGAACCAGGATTTGGACCTGAGCATTCTCACTCCAAACTGAAATGCTGCCTCCTGACAGCACCCGAAATGGTTATAGGATGGGCCCTGCTCTGCCGGAGCTGTGCACTCACCGCTCAGATGAGACTAGTCCATCCGAGGGGACCACACGGTGCTCATGGCAGAGTCAGCCCTCAGAGCTCATGGGCACCCCGTCCTCCCAGACAGGCTGTTTGCTGCGTGGTAGCCCAGGTTCATGGTTGTACGGACTAGCAGCCTTCGACAAACCCTATGTGTAGAGATGCCCTCCCGATCAAGGGCACTCTGAATATTCCCAGGGTTCAAGGTTGTCTGAAATCCCCTATTGTCACCTCCCTTGTTGCCAGTCCTGGCTGTCACCTCTGGTTTCAGTCACTGGCTTGTCCATAGCCTCTTTTCTCCACTTCTGGTCTGCTGGTTCTGCAGGCTGCAAAGTAGAAGCCGCTGGGCTCGGGGGGAGCCTCAGGGAGCCATGCAAATGTTTGGGACCAATGGTTAGGACCAATGTTTAGGACAAGGGACATGAAGAAAAGAACTTCAGCTTGGCTATCTAGAGACCCGGGTGCAAATTCCAGCTTGGTCATCACTTACTCGGTGACCTTGACTCAGCCCCATGCCTCACTGGGTCTGTTTCCTCATCTGTAAAATAGGACACTGTATGAGGATGGTGATGTGCTTGGATAATCAATCAAACAATGAAAAGGATAGTACAGTGATTAAATAAGTGTCAAGTTGGTACACTTGCTTCCTCTTTCTCCATCCGTACCCCTCGTGTGCACGCACATACACACACGTACATCCGTATATTCGCTTTTTTTGTAGAACCATTTGAAAGTAAGTTACAGATACCATGACCCTTCATCCCCATATTCTTCCACCTGCATTTTTTTCCAAGAATATGGTCATTCTACATAATCACAAAAGTGTTATCGCACTAAGAAAATTAAAAATAATTCCATAATTCTAATATGCTGTCCATATTCAAATTTTTCCCATGGGACCAAAAATGTCCTTTACTGTACTTTAGGTTTAATCTGGATCCAATCAAGTTTCATGCATTTTATTTGATTGTCACATCTCTTTGTTTTCTTTTAATCTAGAACAATGCTCCCACCTCTTCCTCATGAAAAGAACAGTTTTCTGTGAAATGTCTGCTTGTTTCCTCCCACTGCCCTTCACTTGCCCCCCATCTTCCTCTTTCCTCTCACCTGGCAGTGACCCTGAGGCTTTGTTCGACGCAGGGTGAAGGCTGGGGAGAACTCCCCGGCAGTCATGCTCGAGCCTTCTCACTGCGTCACGTCTCAGACCCCAGGGCCCGCTTGTCCCTCAGTTAGTAATCCCGGGCATGGGGGTCACTGTCACGGCTCACCACCACTTCTGTCAGTCTTTATACCGGCCTTTTCCTACAGTTGTTGTTTTTTAAAAACAAAAACAAAAACAAAACGGGTGCCGGGGTGGCTCAGTCGGTTAAGCGTCCAATTCTCGATTTTGGCTCAGGTCATGATCTCAGGGTCGTGGGATTGAGCCCCGCATCGGGCTCCGTGCTCAGCTCAGAGTCCGCTTGTCCTTCTCCCTCTGCTCCTCCCCCTGCTCGCTCGCTCTCTCTCTCAAATAAACAATAAGATCTTTTAAAAAAGAAAAGAAAACAGGGGCACCTGGGTGGCTCAGTCGTTAAGCATCTGCCTTTGGTTCAGGTCATGATCCCAGGGTCCTGGGGTCGAGCCCCGCATTGGGCTCCTTGCTCAGCAGGAAGCCTGCTTCTCTCTCTTCCACTCCCCCTGCTGGTGTTCCTGCTCTCGCTATCTCTCTCTCTGTCGAATAAATAAATAAAATCTTAAAAAAAAAAAAAGAACAGTTCACATCACTTATTAAATAGGAAAATGTTGAAATTAGTCTTTCTGTAATCGCTGAAGGTGTAGTATATAAATCTCAAATATAGTAAATACTAACTTGATGCACAAATGAAGAGTAACTGGAAACCTTGCCGGAGTCATACGGTCACCAAGCCCGTAAAGGGATTCATGAGCTTAGGGGCTGGGGGACACTGGCCTCCATGACCCTTGGGGTCCCAGTGAGCTCCAGCACGCTGGGTTTCTGCGACAATGAGGCAACTGGAGGAAGGGGTCACGGCCCACAGCTGGCCTCAAGATGCTGCTGCTTAGTAGGGTTGCGTGGGTGGCCTTGGGGCAAATAAACCAGAGTGCTCAGTCCCCTGGGTCCCCATAGATAGTGAGGCCTTTCCGTCCCCAGTGAAGACACCACCGACTACCGCCAAGCCTGGGGAGGGTCCAGCCTTGTGAGCAGTGGGCTCCAGAGAAATGAGCACACCCAGAGCCAGGGGTTCTGGTCGGTGGGGGGGAGTGGGGGGGGTTGCGGAGAGAGATGCACAGGGGATGGGAAGATCATTGGACTAAGAACGCCCTGTACCTCTGACTCATTGTGGAAACGAGCCTCCATTTCCCATCTGTAGAACGGGAATGGTCATTCCTCCCTCACAGAGTGGTTGTGAGGGTCAGAGAAGACTGCGGTTGTGAAAGTATCGACTCCATGCTCCCGGAAGCGTAGATGTGGGGAGGAAGCAGTGTAGGATGTGAGAACATGGCAATAAATTATATCAGTGCATGTGGGGGCGGGGGGAGGTAACTCCTCTTCAATCTCCATCAATCTCTTGGATTTCTTTAGGAAGAAAGTCTCCATTTGGGACTGTCGTATGTTTAACACCTTTCTAACGCGAGCTGATGTCTCTCCACCGAGACATAGCGGACCTCGTTCAGCGGGCATGGCATCAGGCCAGAACTTGACCATGCTGTTCCTTGTCCTGGGTCGGCTGTCTTCTACTTACAGCAAGTGACACTGGCCTCCCAATTACAGTCATGACACAGTGCACGCTTAGAAGACACGTGTGTGAGTTAAAACAAAGGAATGATGGGCCTGGGCTTTTTTGCAAGCGGAGATTAAAATGCTCCAAGATCATAGTGATCATTGCACAACTCTGTGCATATGCTAAAAATCACTGAATTGAAAAAAAGGAAATTTTTTAAAAAGAAGGTCCATTTAAAGAAACCCATTAAATAAATAATGGCATAAAACACAGATAAATATATACAAATTGTGAAGGTAGAGCTTGTACGATTGAAGTCTGGGAAGACAGACAAGTGGACCCGCTCACCCCACCCCGCTGACAAGAAAGAAGCAGGTCTGCCCTCTGTGGTTGAGCTGAAAGTTCACTTGGGCCCTGGAACCTGGGATTCTACCTCCGGGTCTCATAGAACTTTCGTACCAGAAGAATCATTATGGATGATCTCACTAAGCCCTCATGTGACAGATGGAGAAACTGAGGCCCAGGTGTATGAAAGGTTATCCAGCAGGGCTTAGACCGAGGTGAGGCTGGAGCCCAGGTCTGGCGCCATTGCCCACTGCCCATGACATGCTCCCCTTCCTTCCCTGGGAGCCTGGGGGATGAAGCCAGCAGCTGTCTGCACCCAACTGAGCGCCCCCGCCCCCTGCAAATTCCCCCGACCTACAGTGTCCTCCGCGCTACGGGACAATCCTGCAAACTCTAACCCCATCCCTACCCAGGGAGCATCAAGAGAAACCTCAAAGCCACTCCCTTCCTCCCTCCCACACCCCCCCAGGGACTCCCTGTGCTCAAGGCAGCTCATGAAGGCACGAGAGCATTGTGCTCATCCTTCCCTCCCTCCTTCCTTTGCAGGTGAAGATGGATCCACACTGTGCTGTGTCTGAAGGCAGACCACCACGAGCAGCCAGAACACAGCCCCCAACCTCTCTGATGCTGGGCTCCAGTGGGGTCCCACCAATAAATGTGTAACTGGTGGAAGTGCTGTGAGGACTGATGGGGACCTGATCGGGAATACGGGGGGAGGCAGAGAAGGAGTCAGTCCTCTCCTCTGGAGGTGGTCTTAGTGGAGGCCTGAAGGTTGCCCAGCGCTGACCCGGGGAAGGGCTAGGGTCAGCTGACCAGAGCTCTCCCCAGACCACAGCCTTTAGCCACCTGCTCAGCTCTCCCCCGCTCCCTCCTGTAGCCACCACTTCCTCCCTGCCTCCCCACTGCCTTCCCAGCACACCTGCTGCGTCGCATGCATTCTGTAGCAAATGACCTACTGTGTGCCAGGCCCCTGCCGGAGCTGGACTTGTTCCTGTCAGCTCTCAGCCAGAGAGTCAGAACCAGCGGGAGACACACGGGAGACTGACTGCAAGGAACTGGCTCCTGCGTTTGGGGGGCTGGGCCGGCAGGCACACAGTGGGTAGGCCGTGCTGGGGCTCCCAGGCGCCGTCCGCAGCTGCCCTCCACGGCTGGAGCTTCTTCCCCGTGAGGGAAGCTTCACTTCTGTGCTTTAAGCCTTGCACTGACTGAATCGGGCCCGTCCGGACCGTCCAGGAATATCTCCCTTACTTACAGTCCCTCGATTACATTGCAATCACATCAGCAAAACACCTCCCAGCAACATCTAGATTGGTGTCTGAATAACTGGGAACTTGAAACAGAGGTGGAAAGGCCCTCCTGCGGGGTGGCTCTGGGCAGTGAAAGTAAACACAGGACCACACAGTGACCTCAGGACCGGCAGGGTGGGTGTCCTGGGAACAGGGGGGCGGGGCAGTTAGGGAGCTGCAGGAGGACAGGCTGTCTGTCTGTCTGCGCTGGGCCTCAGAGGGAGGAAGGGTGCTCCTGGTGGCAGGAACAGCCCGGGTGAAGGCATGTGACAAGGGAAACAGGAAGCAGTTATGAAATTACTAATGGAATTTCCAAATATAGGAAACCCCCCCCAACACACACACACAGGAGTCAGCATCCACAGTCAGCAGGTAAGATAAAAATCATTGCTACGGACTGAATGTCCATGCTCCCCACCCCACCACGCACCCCCAGATTCCTATGTTGAAACCCTGATCCTCAGTGTGGGGGTGTTAGGAGGTGGGGTCTTTGGAAGGAAATGAGGCCCCAAGGGTAGTGGGGTCTTCGCGACTGGGACGGGTGTCCTTGGAAGAGGCAGGGGAGAGCTTGCTCCCGGCCACGTGAAGATTCGATGAGAAGCAGACGCTAGCAGGCCAGGAAGGGGGCCCTCCCCAGAACCCGACCACGCCGGCACCCTGCCCTCGGACTGCCAGCCTCCGGAGCCGTGAGAGATAAATATTTGCTGTGGGAGCCACCCGGCCTGAGCAGACTAAGACAGTCTTAGTCACGGGGTCAAAAAGTTCAAAAATACAAGACAGGCCAACTGAGGGGGCAGCATGTTCCATCCCATGGAGGCTCACTCCAGGGCATCTGCTCACGGAGGCCACTATTGCCAAGGTTGGGAAACCGTGCTAGAATGAAGCCTAGGCTTCCAGAGTGTGCATAGGGAGCCATTGATTTATGTTCTGGGAAGATCTTTCTGAGACCATCGTATGCAAAGTCTGCAGAATTCCCTGCCTCAGTGGGAGCCAGCCATTACGCCTCTGGCTCATCTGCTCAGGTGGAAGCCCCTGTGCCTGGCACTCAAGGCTTCGAGGCTTCGTAACTGGGAGCTTCTTGCCTGTTCAGTCCTGCAAGGGCGGGTCAGGACCTTCCCCACAGTCAGTGTCCCGCCCTGCTCAGAGAGGCTAAGTGACCTGCCCAAGGTGGCGCAGCAGGCTTGAGGCAGAGCAGAGTCGGGCTGCGTGTGGCCCTGAGGGGGGTGAGACCTCAGACACTCTGCGGGGCCCCACTGGCCAGCAAAGCCGGGGCCAGTCCACCTGGACAGGTCGGAGCGTGCAGCTACGTGGGGACGCGGGAAGGTGACATACACAGTGCAGAGAGCTGAGAGAAGAAGAGCCATACAGGGGGGCCGCTGGGTGCGCGGAGGAGGGTGGGGCACCTGCAGGCGCAAGAGCAGCTGTGGGCTGAGGACCGCAACAGCAGGAGGGCGAAAAAGGCCCAGGAAGAGTGTGTCTGAGTGTCTTGTGTGTGTATGTGGCGGGGGGGGGTGCCCGTGGGGGTGCTCGCCCCATCGCCGCCCCTCTCCATCCCAAGCCGTGTTGACAGGCACCTACTCAAATACAGTAACTTCCTCGGAATGATTTCAGGGAAAGTTCCTGCCCTGACCCACGTGACCCTCCCCCGTGGACTTCAAGGGGCATCGTGGGCAAGCGTTAGGGAACGTGATCAAAACAGACATGACCGCCAGTGACCCAGGAGCTGGACCCCGGCACGAGGAGGCTCCTCACCCCGCCCCTGTCCTTGGAACGTGGGTTCCATTTGACCTTCCTGCCCCCAGAAGCTGTTCCAAGGCCACAGCCTTGAGATGCGATGTGATGTTGAGAACACCTGCACAGTGTATGTGACCGAGTCCAGTTAGGGCCTCCTGATAAACTTTTAAGACTTGGAGGGTGTGTGTGCTGCCCAAGGCAAGCCTCGTCTGTAAGTTCTCTTTGCTGGTGTTAAAATTATCACCCACCAACCTGGAGTGGGCTGCCTCTTTCTTGGGTCTCCCCCTGCTCCTTGCACATGGGAAAGCTCCCCAGAAGGTTGTGAACCTGCAGCTAGTAAAACATTCTATTTTTTTTTTTTTTTTTTTACCTGTCTTGAGTTAAATCTGGCTGATAGTGAAAGAGGGTATCAGTCAGGACTGGGTTTCGGCTCAGCTTCACTGGGTCACGTAGAAAGTTCAGGGATTCATCCTTGGAATAGTGGCTCCTGCCCAAGTGTCCACCGATATGCTGCCGACCCCCGAGATGCCCCTCACGCCCTCGGTGTGGCGTGCGCTTGCCCCGCAAGCCTCTCCCCCACTGCCCTGCAGGCTGGGGTGCTGGGGATCTGTCCCTGGGTGGCCACCGTCCCTGAACCCTCACACCACCTCCCTTGTCCCCAGACCTACCATCTCCCCTAGGAAGAGCCACTGGAATTTCCTAGCCGGGCACCCACCCCTCCCTCCCTCCTCCAGCCCCCTTCAGACGGCTCCATCTGATGGGTCAAACCTGCCCCCAGAGATCTGCGTGGAAGCATGTTCAGGGCAGCGCTTGAAATTCCAAGTTGCTATTGCTGCCCCTGTTCTCTCTTCACTCCGTCAGAGAGAAGAGCCTGGACCTCTCTCTGGACCTGTCCAAAGACGTGTCTGTCCTTTCCAGGAGGAGGAAGGAATGAGTTTGCAGTCTGGAGGATGGAGGAGAAAGGCACAGTCCGTCTCTCTGGCAGGTCACCCTGCCCCGTCCCCCTGGCATGAGAAGCGGTCCTGTCCGCCTCTCCCTCTCTGTGTTGGCCGTGGGGAAGCCCTGGCCCCTGCCCGTGGCCTTCAGACAGCAAGGTGCGGGGTCAGGACTGCGAGCCCTGCGTCCAGTATCCCCATCGTTCCAGTGCCGCAGAGGAGAGGCTGAGGCCCACAAGTGGGAGCGGGCTGCACCAGGCCCCCGTCTGGCGGGCATGGGGCAGAGTGACGCCGTCCAGCCCCGGCCTGCTGCCCTCCCTGTGGTCAGGCCCGTCCCCGCTCTGCGTCCAGTGGTCTCTGCTGCTTGCTTTCTGTACCATGTTTTCGCTTCCATTCCAAATCCTGGAAAGACTGCTTCAGAGCAGTTCCAGGGCCAGACCCTCTGTCTCATCTAGGGGGACATGGCTGAGGGGGCTCAGAGGAGGAAGGGAACAGAGGGCTCCCCAGCAGCCACATTGATCTGGGCCCCTGTCACCTGTGATTCCAGAGGACAGCTGACCAGCCCCAGAGGAGTGGCTGCTTTCTGGAGGAGAGGGGGAAAGCCTGGGGGAGGTCTCTGCGGCCATGGCTGTTAGAATCGCACCAGCCTCCTCTCCTTTCCAAAACTGTCTCGCTCCGGCCACATCTGGTATCCCTCCAAAATGCCCTGTGTCTCCACTGCGCTGTCTGGTTCTTCTGCCTGGAAAGCTCCCAGGCCCACGTACTCCTCAACGGAGCCTGCCCCCACCCAACCCACACATACTCCTCGTCCCCCACTGCACACTGGCTCGCATGGTGGCCCTCCATTTTTAAGGGTCTCAAACTCACAGCCCTTCAGGAGCCAAATAAGTGGCATAAATGAAGAAAGAAAGTGTAAGTCAAGACGAAACGAGAAGGTTTCCCTCCTAAAGTCACTTACTTTGCAAACAATTAGGTTAAGACCTTGTTAGTCAGGTAAGGCCCGTGAATCAGGGAGCTACATCCAGGCCCACAGATGCTTGCCCCTTGGTCTGTGGGCATCTTGCCCGCTGGACTGCAAGCTCCTTCGAGTGGGGTATCTGTCACTGTCTGTATAAGAACCCAGGCCACAAGAGTGGGACACCGCTCTCACCAAATCTCGGCTGCGGTCTGGGTACCGATTAGAAGCCCCGGAGGGTGGCAGAGCCTTGTTGGCAGAGTTGCTGAATTTCCAAACTGGTGTCTTGGCTCCCCTGGGAACTCCCTGCTCCCCTTCCTCGGCACCCATCCCCTGGGAGCACTGCAGCGACCTGGCCAGCCTCCCTGCTCCCTGGGCATCTCCAGTTGCACATGCGGTAAGATCGTTATTCTTCTCTATGTGGTAGCATGAGCCAGGGAGCTCCTTGGCGCCCCAGAAATGGGCACGGGGCTGACAGCATCACACAGAACTCTGACAATGCTAATCATTCCAGCCCAAACCCGTTATTTTACAAACGGGAAACTGAGACCCAGGGAAGGGATTAACCCACAGCATGTTAGCGGCAGAGCTGACTTGAACTTCATTATTGGACTTGAACTCATTATTGATCCCCCAACAAGCTCCTGGGGACCAGACACTGGGGCTTATCTCTCCGTGTGTCTTCCGGAGATAGCACAGGAAGGAAATCCCAGCAAACGCCTATTCTCTGTGA